AAAAAAAAAAAAAAAAAAAAAAACCGCCTTGATTAGCCGTTTTGACCCAAAAAGGTTACACGTAGTAAGACGACGACACTCGTGAAGAAAGAGTAACGTCGATCTGTTGTCTCGTGTAGTTTTTGCACTAAGCTACGGATCAGTGCAATTTAGCGAAAACGCGCTGGCAGACGGAGTGGGTTCAGGTAAAACGCGCGATAAGATCCGATCGAGTAATGAAAACTGTACGAAGCTTACCGTAATCGCTTGTATCCTCAGTCGTGCTGTTCACCGTGCCATCCGGGTACACTTGAAGGTATCTGTTCTTGATGAACATCTTTATTTTTCTCGCGGTACCGGTGATGTGCGATAAATTGGCCGTAGACCTTTCGTTCCTGGGGCCCGCCGCCTCTTCTGCGTCTCGAATGTTGCTGTTCCGTTCGGCAATCAGGGACCGGCGCCCTACCGACGAACCAAACGCGACACCGCACAACAAGTACAACACTAGTAAGACTGCGGCACACCGACTGCTATTGCTGCTGCTAGAGTACACGCGCGACCGTTTCACCATGACTTCAGGCCATTTCCTGGTGGTACCGGGCTGGGTACCGCGTCAGGGCCCGTCACGCCGGACACCGGTACCCGCCTCGCTAGGCCACCACATGTCGGGACCACTACGGTCGGTCCCCGACCGACATGATAACGCGATCGCTATTAACTTTCAAAAATTATTAATTCCGCGAAAAATAAATTATTTTTTTTTAATTCTATGTAAAATTTTTACTATTGACCAAATGCGCGTAGAGGTCGTACGCATAAAAATCTTGTGCAGATAAGGTCACACACGTCGAATAGTCTTCGTCCGTCTCGCGACACCCGTGTCCGTCTTCCTTGTGTCTAATAAACGGCGCGACGTGCGGTTGGCGACTGGCCGAGAGAGTAGAGAACGGCGCGAGGAATCACGAATCATGGGGACCACCAGACGGTATTCAATTTGTCGGTCAGGCCATGTGACCCGGCGCTCACGTTCGGCCTACAGATGGAGCCACAGTGTACAATGAGCCGTGTAAGTGGTGATGAACAACCATGTGTGTTATGAGTACCGGTCGTTTCAAACTCGATAAAAAACTGCCATGTTAAGGCACTGTGATAAAACTATTCTGCTGTCTTATTATCACGAAAAAATTCAATATAAATATATTAAGTAAATTTTTAGAATTGAGGTAATAACTAAAATATATGCGACACAAAATCTATATTTTGTACTTATTTCACAGACGGACCCACATCTCTTTAAACGGATTGTACATACAAATCATACTTATGATATCAAATATTGTAAAAATAAAAGTATAATTGAAACTGACAATGATTAAATACAGAAAATAGAAGTAAATATCGCATACGCATTTTGAAAAAATTACTTTGCTGATATTTTATATTCATTGATGAGGCGGAGATTTAACAACTTGAATACTCGTCCCAATAAAAAAATGTATTGTCTTATTGTGCTATATATGCTTACAACTTATACATTTTTTTAAAGTTTATTTCAGAAATATACCAAATAAATATTATTGATGTCTTTGTAGAATGTGGTATCAATTGCTAACACTAATAAATTAAAAATAATTATTTAAGTGATTAAATTACACCAAAACTTCTTCAAAAACAATTTTATCATTGTAACTTGCAATTCAATTAAAGTTAATACTTAACATAGTAATTGAATTTGAGTTTGTATACTATAAAAAATAAAAATATTTTATTAGGAATATTAAACAGATTTAGATGCTAATTTTTTTATTGCTATAGCCACTGGCTGTTAGTAAAATTACAGAGTATCTGTGACGATAGTCACGTTTATAAACTGTTATGAAAGTTTTTATTGAGGAAATCTAAAAAAATAATTATAAGATTGATTTGGACGTATTATGTTTAATAATGTTCTTAACTTGATCATATAATGAATTTCGAATTATTCTTATTAATTTAAAATTATGTTACACAGAGTTGATATACTTTACAATATTATATGAAAAACCCAACACACAGAAGTCAGTTGACTTCCCTCAAACTTGATATAAGCTTTATGATTCAATCGAGTACCACAAATTTCCAATTAATCAACTTCGCTAAAAAAGTACTTCATATTACTAAACTCTTGTTCTAATCACTTTATCTAATTTTCTTCTCTTATATATTCCTGTAAGTTCAATATGAATAAAATATTTGTTTATACAAATAATTATTTTTAACTCTAAACATGGCTTAGCCTAACATTGTTTTTAGTTTACATTAAACAATTCATTGTCAAAACGTTCAAGTTGAAAACACTTTATAATGCAAGCCCATTTCAAATTTAAATATTAGTAAGATGTTATTAGTTTGTTAGAGGTTACTATATTTTTTATCATGTAAAAGTATTAAATATAAAACGATAAACTTTTAAATGCATTTATAATTTGTTATATATGTTCATATAATAACACTGTTGTTCATAGATTTTTATTTTAACACAATATTACCACTATTTAAGTTCCTTATGGATTTATCAACAATGATTAAGTAGCATAAAAGACTATCAGGTCTTGTTAATTTCAATTCTACCATCGTATCGCCATTATCGTTTACATGCCAACGGATTTAATTCGACAGTCGACCTGTACATAAAACTATTAATATTGAAGTATAGGCGATTTATTTGGAACACAAATCGCAATTATTACAAGAGGACTCAGAGGCGTCGGCAACATAAAAACGAATCACGTGACGTCATTTTGACACAGTTGCGCCTGCGGGTTTTCCACAAACATTTTACATTCGGCAAAGCATCAAATAATAATAACAATTAAAAAATTAAACATTATTTGCACACATGTTGCTAATCACGTACACATTACGGGCTACAGTGTCATGATTCATGACGTATAATCCCAATACACATCATGCATACTGTAATAAGATAATTAAGATATTGCTTAGATCGTTTATAGTCAGCAATAAACTTTACCGATTATTAATTAGGTAACAATAACTTATGTATCAGAGTTAATTAATAAATAAATTTAATGCTTACAAAATAAAAATTAACAGTAACAAATGACAATAAGTTAAAAAATATCAACCTTTAATGAATATAGATAATACTTTTTGATGAAAAAAAGAAGTGTGGCTTTGTTCAACAGCCAAATCTCTTCTAGATATATTGTACTAAATATTTTTTTATAAGACTTTTAATGATTAAAGACAGGTTTGTACTGTTTTCAATCATATGAAAATGTGCTAGTCATTTTTCTCAAAATTAATACAAAATTTAATGTTAACAAATGCTTTTGGTATATATAAATTTATTTTACGTTAACTCTGATTTATAAACATATATACTATAAAAAAGCATTTTTTATGAATAAGAGCACATGTTGCTTTTTGACATTTTTTATTATTCGTGAAAATTGTGAGCAAATTTATGTCGTATCTACTGATATCACTGTCAATTACAAATATGTAATTTTATTACCAATATATTGTTATTTGAATTAAGTTAGTTACATTCATTTATTGGTAAAAATATTTATTTTTTGTACTACCCGATACTCTATAAAAAGTGTCACATGTATTTTTTCATAAAGATTGACAACCTTCAATACAACTAAATAGGAAAAAAGTAAAAATTATACAACTTTATAGTTACAGGGTCCAATAAAACAACACGAGTTAATTTTTCCACATTATCAAGAAAAAAGAAAAACTAATTACAGAAAAAAACACTTGTGTTTCAATTTTCAAAATTATCCAAATGAAAGAAAATAATGTACTATTTTTGTAAAACTAACAAAGGAAATTTTTTATTACTTTATTATTACAAGAAAAATAGTATTACCATATTCAAAATAGATAGTAAAAATAGATTTAGTAAAACATAATTGTTGATAAATAAACGTTTTTAATCACTGAAATTATACTATGGTATTTCATTTCTAAATTAAATAAATAACACTACTGTACATTAGTTTGTAGGGTATTTTTTATCAAGGCTTGCTTAAATTACAGGCGACTGACAAGAGAGGTAGATTTCTATTGAAAAAATATTTACATTATTATATGTTTTTGTACAAAATATAAGATAATGAATAAAAAAAAACGG